CTTTGAATTAAAAATTTTCCATGACAGTATCTTCTGTAGCTCATTTCAGATGAAGAAATGCAATGGCTCGACAAAATACATATCCTCTCAGAGTCTCAAAACACAATGCGGTTTCTTTACCCTACCCTTTTATGTGAGTCTCCTCGCGATCAAACTGTTCTGTTGTGCTATGACCATCCCCAATACCTAGAACATCATCACGTGAGCTCTTGAAACTATGTATTTCATTTTCATTAGATACTGTGATTTAGAGAAATAACTTTCTGGAGAATTATACTTTGAAACCTTAAAATAAACTGTTATATTTTGCAGTCTCATAAACAGAAAACACTATATTCACTAGCTGTAATATTCACAACCCAACGTTCCTCTACCTGCGGCAGGTTAGATGGGTGGGGTTAGTGGCCTAAGAGACTGAGAACACAGGCGAACTCCAGCTCACAGGCTCTTACAACTGCTTAAGGGTTTGCACAGCCAACACATTTGAACACCAGTTTGAGCATTAGTAGCCAATAAAAGCAGACACAGTCAGTTCTCGTATGTGAGTGAGTAAAATACTCAATTCCCCTAGGGTACCCAAAGACCAAAATATTTTGTGATGATACAATAATGTCCTTCTGCGAGGCAGGGTGGGGGCTGAGGCCTGGAATGGAAGGGCACCCATAGAATTTAAAATCACAAGTAGGCCCAGCTAAAATCTTTATATCCCAAAGAAATAATGGGTAGTAATTGGTTCTGTCTGTATAAAGTTAAATTGCCTGAATGAAAGTGGTGGCAATAAAATTCATAAATCTGCCTTGTTTTACTTGTGTAGTTATTTTGTAGGTATAAATTCCAACAGAACCATCTATAAATTTTAGTCATATAATAGCCAATTGAAAGTTGTCACAAACTATGAAATTTCTCCTAGAGTGTTTATTTTTCCTATTAAAAAGTCCATGAGCATTGAAGAAGCAATGGAAATACATTTCATAAACGTATTAAAATGTGTCTTGTTAGCAACACTCAAGCGTGCATCGACCTTTCTCAAGGTCCTAGGTTTCCTCTAGTATTCAGAATATTATCATCTTAACACAATATTTCTTAATGTCTGCTACATTTCCTCAGTATTATTGGGCCATGAACTTGACATTAATTGAAGTCAGTAGGCTAACAAGCTAACTCGGAAGCAGCTGTCTCTACCAGCTCCCAAGACAGACACCACTGGTCATGTGACTTCTTACACCTTCCTGAATATAGAACTATTCTAAATCCAACCTCTGTAACATCTGCAGATCTTTCAAGTAAATATCTCAATTTAGGGAAAACTCTGTGTGTGTGTGTATGTGTGAGTGTGTGTACGTGCGCACATGTGTCTTTAAACAACACAATCCAATTGGGGTTTAGAAAGTATAATCGTGGCAAGACCTTCTCATGTTAGTAATCCTTCCAATTTTAATAAAATCCTTGCACTTCACACCCGTATTTGTCCCTTTGTATATAATACATTTCATTGTCTTTTTTAGATTATGGAGATATTCATTAGTGTTGTAGAAAACAGAGACAAGCATCCAGTAAAGGAAATAGTAAAACTTGTAACTTCCCCAATGATAGCACATAGCAGACTTGGCTCCGTTCGCTTGACCCTTGAGAACCTCTTTTGACCTGCTTCTCGTCTCCTCTGCACCTGCATCACACATCGCACCGCCCACCTGCTCTGAGCTAGCCATGCGGTCTTGTCTAATTCTTTCAGCTTTAATTCTTTCATTCCTCCTGCTCTTACCTGCCTGAGCTGGCTTCAAAAAAGCCTTTCTTCCATCCTTCATGAAAGACTGGGTGGTGATGGGCAGTGGAGGTATTTCTCTTTCCTGAACCAGTTCTCACAATAAGCAGAGGAGCCCAGTGTCAAGGCCAGTGCTAACGAACATCCCAAAACCGTTGAGTTTACACTTGGCTAGTGTAGAATGAGCCTCAGGGAGCCCCAGGTGGACTCTCTCACCCCACTCTCAGCCTCAACTTTGCTTTGATAGCAGAGACCTGGCCTCCTTGAGCTCCCGACACTGGTGGCTCCACAATATCTCAGCAAGTTGGGGCATTATTCTTGGGTCCCTAAACAGCACTTTTCCTTGAAGGGCTGCTCCCTGCTGTACTTTCTGGCTCAAAGCAGAAAGTTACTGATTAGTCAGCGCGATCCCAAAGTTGAAACCATCCATGTTTATAACTCTGGTTAGAAAAAAAGCATAAAATCAGGCAGAGAATTAATACATCATTCAAAAACATAGAGAAGCACAATCTCACTTATTCTAGAAGACCATCAGGTCGACCGAAGTGTATGTTTACTTTAAGCTATTAGGTCAATATGCATTAAGCCATATTTCTTTCTTTGGAAAGTTCTTGGTAGAAATTTCAGGGTAAGAAAAGGCAGTATGCTTCAGCCTGCTCTTTTAAAATTGTTTGGTACTTTATTGAGGTAACACTGGTTTACACACTGTGTATGATCTATGCATGCAGACTCACACCTGTTCGGATGCATGTACCACCCCACAGCCACCCCCTTCAAAATCCTCCACCACAGTCTCTGAGCCCCTTCCCCGCTCTGCTCACTTTGTTTTAAAGTGATGAAGTAAGTGTGCTGTTTAGGCCTGGAAAACAGAGGACAAGGCATTTTCTTAGGTAATGCTGCAGTCTCTGTCCATCTCTGCAATGAAACAGAACAACAGCTAGGAGCAAACACCTGGCGCTCATGGTGGTGCTTTCTTCCAAAAGTACTGAATAGGCAAAAGAATTAGGGACTCTTGTCTGGATATACTAGCCCAGACACTTAGGCCAGGATTCAACATGTCTGTGCCTTCATTTCTCCTATGATAATAAGGAAGTCTTAGAATCCTAGGAGTCCATGATTCTGTTTCTGTTACTCAAGAAACAAAATGGACAATCATAAAGTTGTAAAGTTTACGATGCACTTTACTTTCAAGTCAGAAGAAAGAGTCTCCATGGGCCCGAGGCTCTTTGCCTGTAGTCAGCTGAGTGGATTGGGATAATGTTACCGACCTCGCAGGTAAGATGGGCCCTACTAACCTCAGCATGCTTCTGATGGTCTGGGGAGCAACCGTTCTCCCTCACCTGTCCTCCACCCAGACTGCCCACCGGCGACATGCTCCACCTCAGAACATGGCGACCTCGGAATGTGGTGGCTTTGGCCACCACATTTGATCGAGTTTGACCTTCTTTCTCTTGTGCATTGTCTCAAAAGCTCACACTCTGCAGCAGCCTGGAAGGGTCTCTGCAACCTGGCTCCCAATGGCGTTGGGTGCACCCACGCCCACTCTCCCCAGGGCGTGGTCCACCCTGCTCTGCGCTCTCGCTCTGCTAGTCGTGTCTTGACCTCAGGGCAGTTGGAACACTCGCTCTTCCTCTTGTCCCTGCCACCAGGGTAGACCCCCAGGGTCTGGCTACATTCCCTCCTTAGTACTGAGCATCTCCTGATGCGCTTTTAAAATGTGTTTGTCTCTCTCTACCCAACAGAACGGACATTCCATAAAATAGGACTTTATATTTCTTACATATGTATTTCCTCAGTGCAGCTTCTTAGCAGGCTTTCAATAGATATTTCTTGAAGGAAAGAAAGCATTAACCATATTTTAGAGAATGCCAAGTCAGCAGACATTACAATCTCTGGAGGAGAAAGAATCAGGAGGCTTCCTCATAAAGACATCCTCTCTCACCTGACCCTGAAATGCTAGTAAACACAATTAGTCATGAGAGCATGTATGTGTGTGTTTATTAATTTACATTCTGTTTAATAATGTATAAGCTGTCAACTTTGAAAGCTTTCATCATGGGAACTGAAGGAGAAAATTGGCTGCCTTGCGTACTTGCATTCTGTGAATTGAGTTTGGGAAATCCCTATGATCGTGCCAAACGGGTCCTGCTGGGTTGAGTCGGCTCACACACGAGTCTACAGCTGTGTATCTCCCTTCACTAGTTTTAATCCAACAGCCTTATAAGCTATGGAATATTAATTTTTCCCAGGTAAAATGGATTATTGTGCACTTGAGATGATCATTATCTCCTTGAAAAAAATCATGTCAGAGAAACCCTCACTAACCCAGGAAGGGAAGCTGCACGGTACAAGATGACATCCTGTCACTCTGAATGTGTCCACTGAAGGTGCCTGATCACCTCAGAACAGGTCTTGGGCAGAAGACACAGTCACCGGATCCATGTTAGCGCTTAAGTTCATTCGCTCATTGATTCATTTTGCCTGAGTTCCCCAACTGTTAGTTGTGCATCTACTAGGTATCCTGTCTGTGATACACCCTGGTGGCGTGGAGCAAATGGAACTGGATGTGGTCAGTATGATGATGGAGCGTAATCCTGCTAGACAAAATTTTAATATAGAAACAAAAGCTACACGTCAGGTGGTGACTATACGCGTGATGTGTGGAATGTGTGTGATATGAGGTGCAGGAGGCTAATAGAGCCGCCAGTGAGGGCTCATGGGGACGTGTCTGCTAACAAGATGTAACCCACCTCGTGAGAAACCCACATGAGAAACCCACATGGCAGGAATAAATACGCATATATCCCACTATTGTGCACTTTCATGGCTAACACACCAAGTGGACTATTTATCCCATGCACAGAAACGTCACTATTTAATTCTGAAATGAACAAGCAACTGCTGTAGAAATGTAGACAATAGAGGAACACGGGAGTTAAACCAGACCAGTTCCTTTCCCCACCACCAAAAGAGACGGCGATGAATTTCTATGCACATAAAAAGTGTTTGTACTTTTATTTTTCATAACACAGCGGTGATCATGCTTTATTACCTGTATTCTCTAAGAGGAAAAATCCCATAAACCAGACCTCAGGTTTGGTCTACGTGATTATGCAGATCTATGTAGTAATTCTAGAATTCCGACAGGAAGACTATTAGCTCACACCCTCAATTATGGCATGTTTCCCCCATTCTGATGTAATTTTATTTTCATACACATGAGGCACTTAGTAAAAACCATAACTATATGAATAAGGGAATTCCTACAGCGCTCCTTCCACGCCTGCTCACACAATGTCAGAGACCAGTTGCGTTAGTTTCTAGTTTATCCTGCCTGCATTTCTTTCTAGAAATATAAACAGATTAGAGTTTAACTTTGGACCTTTTTATACATAACACAGTATACTGTGTGATCTATTTTCATCATGCATTTTTACATCAAAACAAATCCTATAACTCATTCTGCATCCGCTTACAGGAATCTTTCTCATATTTTTAATTTATATCGTTGCATAGTACTCCAATGATATATAATGATATTTTGGGTATTAGCACTATTTTTCTATTGAAATAATAGCTAAATGAATTAAAAACAATATATTTTGTTGAAGTACATTTCTGTATCAAAAGTTAAATGCATGTATCATTTTGCTAGTTACCACCAAATTCTTCTCCCAGAGGGTTGTACTGTTTTTGTTCTTACTAAAATCATGTGTGTCTTCTCCCACAGCTTCATCATCAGGACACACTGAATATCTTCACAAGCAGTGTCTATCTGCATGGAACTCAGTGCAGTTCTAATTTGTACCTTAATTATTATAAACTTGAGCATCTTTTCATGTTTAAGAAAAATTTTTATCTTTTACAATGCAATTTCTGTAAGTATCTTTTCCCACTTTCATTTGGTTTTATCTTTATCTCAGTTTTAAGACATATAAACATATACATACATATTTAATGCTATTGGTGATGTGATTCTCAAGTTTGTTCTTCCAGATTATGTATTATTTTTTGAATTTATGATTTTTTTTGCAAGAATTGGTGTTTGTTTAGTTTCAGTAAGTAGGCAGGAATGTATATCCCCAACACATCTGCCTAACGGAAAGACCCCACTTCTTGGTGGGCATAAAGCTGCTAAGTTACAAAGAGCTGGTAAAGAAGATATGTAAAGGAAACTGCATGGTAAACTGTTTTACGAAGGATGATGTTTACTATTGAGCTACATAAAGAACATAATACCTATGAATGAACTCTGTGAAATTAAAGAATATTCTGGATAAAATAATCCTCATTAATTACGGTTCTAAATGTATCAGTATGTTGTTCGGCTGACAAGATGGAAGAATTACTAAGATCTGAGGGATCTGGAGTTAGTACCAGATTTACCAAGATGGCTGACAGTGGACCAGTTTCTGTGCCATGAATCTGTCATGTATCACAAGGGTTCATAAGTCCTATCATCGGTACCTAGGGGTGTTATAAGAATTAAATGCAGGGTTTATCTAAAATTGCTTCAAATATAGTCAGTTAACTATTATACTGCAATGAGTGAACTGGGGTATTTATACGAACAAATACTAAAAGTCAAACATGCTGTATAACTGAAGATAGAGCATCCCTATTTACATATCTGAAGTACATGAAGCAATAAAGCACACAAAGTCATCACCCCAGTTTTTTTGACTATTACATCCCATTTATTTGAAGTCCCAATTTTGAATCAAAATGTTAAAATTATTCTGGGGTAACTTGACACGATCTAGAGACGACCTACAAGGAGGGTCATCTGCGGTTTCCCTTAGGACTTGATGATTTCAGGAAGCAGAAAGCAAAACAAACTTGCTGGAACTTCTGCTGTTGTTTGCTTGTTTAGTAGAAATTCTTTAGCAAGAGATTTAATCAGTTGTTCATACTGATTGGCTCATTGGAATGCACTTAACTAAGCACAAAACATCGGGTCATTTTGATTGAGTCCATTATTCAAGCTGCTAATTTTACTGTAGAGAACCCTGGTGGCCGCAGTGGATCAGTCTCCCCAGCCCCATGTTTCCAACGGGCTCAAATTGCTCCCTTTCCTCTTTGGATGAGAATATTTGTGTTCAAACCCAAATGACGTAGGTAGAAGTGGGACCCCGATTCTGTATGCTCCATATGAAATATAAGTTGTCAGTACAAGCGAACATGTGGCTACAAATCACTGACTCTCCTCTGGTCCCTCTTGCGGACGGGCTGAGCCACACCAGCGCAGGGACAGCCACCTAAGCTTTCCTGACAGGGTGAGTCCCAGGCCAGCTCTCCCAGGACAAAAGAAGAACGAGCTCTTTCCCTGCCAAGTCTACACAAGTCTACAGTCTATCTCACAGAGGTTCTGCTAGTGAACAAGGCAGATATGTGATGTAGAAATATTAACCCCACAGTCAGCACCCATGGAAAAAACGTCCCAGATAGTCTTAAATACGTGTTTGAGTTCATATGTCAACCATCTCTCTCTCTCTCTCTCTCTCTCTCTCTCTCTCTCTCTATTTTTTGCTACTGTCCATTGAAATAAACTTGAAGAACTTGAAGAATGAGTGTACAAATAGGTTGTCAATTCACTTTACTCCCCACGATACCAGTAAAAACCACAAATAACATGCTTTGATTGTTTACATGGTTCAGCTCATCTATTATGTCCGTTTCACAGATGATGGTACCAAGGCGCAGAGGGGACTAAGAAACTTGCCCACAGCTGGAGAGTTATTAATTGGTGGGCACGAGTCATGCCATCCAACTGCACCCTTACGCACATCCGGACAGACCTAAAAACACTGATGATAAACTAGGGTGAGCCCTGCCATGTTCAAGAATAAGCATTTGACAATTAGACCGTCATGAAGTGCCACTGCCATCTATCAAATGAAACTGTGACGTGCGTGCCAGCACATGTTGAACTACTTTTGATCTAACAACCTGCCTCGATGCTGACAAGCTTCCTGCACAAGATTCTGTTAGCCAACAAGGTCCTGATTGTCTACCTGCCTGTTGTTCCTTCGCGATCTGGAGGGCTCCAAGGACAGGGGAAATGTTGAATTATTCTCATGTTTCCAACAACTGTATAGTCTCAGAAGCATGGAGTGAGTGACCGTTAAATACATCTTGCTACTAGTTTCAGGATAAGCAAGATGCCCCTCTGAGGATCTCCCAGCTTCATCATTCCTAGGCCTGCGTCATCAAAAGGAACTTACTACTCCTGAAAGCTGTTTAAAACACCAAAATTCCTCCCATCTGGGATATACAGAAGCAAAGCAAAGGGACAGATAAAACCAAAACAAACCCCTGTGTTCTAACTGCAGAACTGAGGCGACCGGTGCGGGGGGAGGGGACCCCAATGGACTAGGGTGGAGGCTTCTTGGGGCTTCTGTGGCGGCCATGGTGTGATGACACACATGTAAAGATGTGAACATGCCTGTATCCTAAAGTATATACAGTGCTGTAACCAGCATCACCTCAGCACACATAATTTAACACAACACTGAAATAGCTCACGGGAGTCCAGACTCAGGCAAGCCCATGGTCCAGCTTCACTGCTGCTGACCAGTGACTACTCCCCATCGCGACGCAGTGTTCTGTCTGTCGTTACAGCAAGAGGCTGCAAAATTGAGCACCGACACTGACGTCCTGAGGGCAAGACACTGTCCCTAGGTCCCTGGCAGGGCCTGGCAATGCTCAGAGCCACGCGGTCCATAAAAACCATGGTCACGACGAAGGAGCCCTCCCCGCGACGCAGATGGGACAAGGGAGCCACGCTGGACGCAAGCGACCCTGGGCTGAGCTTGAACCTGAACTTAGCCCTTTCTGATGCAGAAAATAGCGTTTTTCATTCTACATGTTGAGGACATTTGGAGACTCAAGCTATCTAAGGGGTTTCCTCCTCCCCCTGTTTAGAAAGCCCATCTCGAAGCGCTGGTGTCACTGTCTAATAATTTGAGCACGGTGTCGAGAATAAACAAAAAATTAATATTTCAATCAACTCACAGTACCCAATTACTTTGTGGTTTCTCAACCAACAGATCCTAAAAATACCAGTGCAATTCTGTCATCGAGAGGGTGTCCTCTCGCCCTACGACAGCTCTTTCTCTAAGACCTGGAGGACAACACAAGCGGGGGAAGAGCCTCCTGATGAGCTGGAGGGGGCGCTGCAGAGGCAAGAGGAAAAGTGAGCCCCTTAGAGTGAGTTGTGATTGAGTGACTGGATGAGTGAGCACGCGTCCAGGTACACATGCAGAAAGGGGCTGGCCAAATGCATGCATGGGTGACTGGATGAGCATGTGAGAACACATAAACAGACCAGACATGTAAGCAGAGCTTGTGCTCACAGCCCATGAAGAAGCCCAAGAAGAGCCCCTGACCCTCGAGGAAGCTGTAACCCCTTCTCTTCCCTGACGTGAGCACATCACAACTGTCCCCGTGAAGGTCACTCCAGGAAGGGGTAGACTGGCATTTCTTTAGGAAAAGCCTTGCGTGGTCAAGAAAACATGGCGTGTCCTGTAGTTTTCACACATCTCTTGGGGATGGATCTTGCTGAAACTTACGGTGATAGGGCCTCCCCTGGAGGCGCAGCGGTTGAGCGCTGGGCTGCAAAGCTGCCCACAGCCTCTGCAGTGCCGGTTCGATTCCCGGCCACCGGCGAGGGTCCCACATGGTGCGCAGACCTCTCCTGCCGCCCGCTGCTCCCCTCAGCAGTGTGTTTCGTTAGTCTGCTTGTTCTGTTCCCCGCTCTGGCTCTGGTGAATCCTCACCCTCCCGCGCTTCTGACTGTACCCAGTGCTTGTATAAATAAATAAATAAATCTATTAAAAATAAAAAAAAATAAATAAATAAAACTTATGGTGAGAACATCTGGAAAGGCCCTAATCCCTCTGATTCCAGAAGCCTTTTGTGGCATCACAGCCGCAAGGCTCCTACAGAACTAGTAATCCCGACACGTTATTTGGAAAACAATCTCTGAGATTATTTGTATCCATCAAGGTGTTAGTCCGTTCTCTTCTGATACTTGCAGTGATTAAGTTGTTAAATGTTCTTTTTTTAATTCAAAATATGAGAGGCCAGCTGAGGTCTTAGTCAAAAGGGGGAAAGAGCACATGTCCTGAGGTGTGTCTTTAAGTCTCAAGGCAAGCCCCTGCCCTCTGTACCCACCGCTCCAGCTCCAGGGCAAGGCTTCATCTTCCCAGCCCCCTGCTCCGGCCTTCAGTCTCAGCTGGAGAGAGGCCCCTGAGGCGGAAGTGGCTCTGGGGTTGGGTAGAAGCCACACGGCTGGGAAAACAGCAGGGTTGCTGGGTGGAAATAGCTGAAGTAGCTCACAGGAGTTCAGACTCAGGCAAGTCCATGGCCCAGCCTTTGCCAGCTGGGGAAAATCAGCAAACCCACCGGCCACGCCTGGGACTGGACGGCTCAGTCCGTCAGCAGCAGGCAGCCTCGAGGCCCCAGGGCCCTCCGCCACAGCTGCCGCTCCCTGCCAGCCCTGCGGCCATGCCACTGGGCAGAGACTGTGAGGCTTTGAGGCCAGCCGTGCAGGGCATCCCGGAGGGCGAGAGTATGAATCACTCCTAGTGGGTGACCGGTGTGTTACCTCCAAATCCCTTTTAAGAAGCCAGAAGATCTGATATCCAGGCTTATGGCCTGATCCTGGGGCTCCCGGGAACATAAAACATGGATGAAAAGCCACACACTGAAACTCTGATCTCATCCACAAACCATCACACGGCGCTCACTGTTCATGCATTTTAGGGACTTCCTAGTCCTTCTGGCCGGGGAGAGGAGGAGCAGGGCACGGAAGGCTCTCTGCCTCCACAAACGCACACGGTAACTCGGCGAGGCATCACGATCATCCTAAAACAATCAATAACCCTGTGACAGATGCATCACATGACCAGGTGAGTGCCACAGGGGTCACAGCAGAAGGAGCATGGTCCCGGGAGGAGAAGGCTTTCAGAGCCAGGGAGGAACAACAGGCCTGCTCGGGACGCGGGAAGGGTCTGGCTGGCAAGCTCCAGGGGAGGCTTCATGGAGGCAGACCTTGGTCTGTTCTGGAGCCAAGTCAGCCTCACATCTCTGACGCCCACGCGCTCTCCCAAGGTCTCAGCCCATGTGCTTTCCAGTGTTTTTCTCTTCAACATTTTCTCACTCTGAGGTCTTTCCCAGCAGTCGCCAGAGGCCCTCACCTGCGGCTCCCAGCACACAGTGCTACTGTGTAGGAGAGGGGAGGGTTTCTATCTCCCTCTCTACGTCTTTTTGTTAATTTTGGGGTGGGATGTTAACCCAAATGTAGGCATCCCAGCCACCCTTTCATTGAGCACAATCACAGCCATGTAACATCAACACTCAAACACCAGAGCCCATGACCTTGCACGACACCGGTGCTTCCAGCTATTTCTCAGGATGCTCGTTAAATGATGACGATTCAACCTCCTTGGCTTTGACCCGCTGTGGGAGTGTCCCCAGTAGAGCCAGTCGCAGGGACACCCCCCCTTCCTGTCCACTTCTTAAAACCCCTTTTATTTCGTTAATTGCTCTCCCCAATTCCCTGTTTCCCTTCAAGCATCCGGGGCTAGAGATGAGGGGCCACGTCTCTTTCCAGCGAATCACAATATCATGATTATCTGTCATCTCTCAGTCGCCTCTCCCGAGAGTTACGCCTCACAGGAATAAGGCCTCCTCGTAAATATTTGTCAGATGAATAATTCAGTAAATATTGGAAGAGGCGACTTAGACACTGTAGTCCTTTGGCAAAGATACAGGTAGGTCAAAGGGGAGAGATGACAGGAAAAGCTGAGTTTTATGTCAGCCAGGCCTTTTACATCCCAGAAACCATTATCAAAAATTTCGTGACGTTTACTTTTCCACCCGGCTTAAGGTAATCCGCAAAAGAGGCTGATGAACATGTTCTCTGGTCCAGGAATATGAAATCTATCACTGGTAAGGCTGGCAAGGAGCACAGGTAACGCATAAGCACGGAGGCCAGTGGCACACCTGGGTGGCTCCTGCGGACACGCAGGCTCCTGGCTGCAGGCCACAGGGGTCTGAGGCGAACAATGGGGGAGGGCAGCAGGGGGCAGAGACTCCACTTCTAATAAGGCAGATGTGTATAAAACTCAAAAGCCTAATTCAGAGGAAAGTGGGCGGTAGGAGCTTTCCCACGGAAGAAAACATGGCACAAGTGATCAACAAATTCTTTTGTAAACATTGACCACTCACATTGAAAAAAGCAATCAAGAAAAGCCGAGGCTTTGTAAATCCACTCCCCGCGCCCTGGAGAAGCCCCACGTGAGTCCAGTAAGAGCGGGTCTGTCTGTCTCGCGGGTTCATTTGGAAATTGGAATGTCCCTTCAATTCGCAGACAGAGACGGGGCAGCGAGGGCACCTGCTCACAAGTAACCGGACAGCCGGCCTGGGAGACGGCGTGCAGGGCGGCCCCGGGAGGGCACACGCCAGGCCTCAGCTGCCTGCCAGGCGCCCGGCAGTAGAAGGGACTCCCATTTTGCTTCCACACTGTCCTCTCCCCCCGGGCGAGGTCACTTGTAAGGCAGATAGCCCCGCCGAGGAGCTAGTAATCAGAGGTACCTCAGCACTTGGAGACGAATGAGACACGTCACCCCACACCTGGGACTGCAGCTGCATCCGTCGCGCTGCAGAAAACAATGATGCACTTCGGGCAAAATGTAAAATAGAACTCCTGGAAGCGGCTGAGAGGAAATCAAAGGAGGCGGGAGTTGGAGGTGGGCCAGCTTGCAGGCTCGTCCCTGACAGAATCCCCAGTGTTCACAGCAAAGAGCAGCTTAATCTTAAACAAAAGTCCTGTCTCGATTTGCTTGGGGCATCAGAGGATGGAGCAGTGCTGTCGACGAGGTGAAAAACAATTGCAAGCAAGTTTGAAAGGAAGGAATAAGAGGTGAGGGGAGCCCCAAATCCAAGTATAATCTGCCCTTGAATTCTTGCTTGACCCTTGACCTGTTCCTGTGTGGGAGACTCTGGTGTGCTCTGACGGGGCGAGAAGGCGGAAGCCTAAGTCGACGGGAGAGATTCCAGTTGCTCCAACCCTCGCAGGAGGCGTGCAGAGTCCAAATTCCTCCAGATGAAATAAAAACAGAGCCCACAAGACCAGATTTTAGAATTCGCAGAAAGGAACTTTGAAAGAGCGATTAGGAGTATGCTCAGGGATTAAAAAGCATCATGGACACACAGGACTTGTATTTCAGCAAAGGAAACCATTAATGAAGGAACTGGAAAGTGCAGAATGGCAGGATGCATTATCCAAAACTGACCCAAGAATTTATAAGCAGATTGGAGATTAAGACAACAGAATCGTGAATGTCAAGAAAGATATACACGGAGACGAAGTCATGAGTTAGAACAGAATGAACAAGAACAAGGACTCGGTGACATTTGAGACATTATTAAATACATATGTGTGGATTTCCCCCAAAAAGAGACCAAGGTGGGTGGCAGAAAAAAACATCTGGAGAAGTAACAGGTGTTTTCTAAACTAGTCGCTATGTGGTATTAAACAAATCTAGATGACTAGAAGTGAAAGGCTGGGGAAAAATAAACCATTTGAACAGTAAGCATAAGCAAGCAGGTGTGGCTCTGCTAATATCAAACAAAATAGACTCCAATAAAGCTGATTTTCAAACATGTATTCTGTATTGGAGCGGGGCTGTCTGCAGATGTGAAGCGGGTGCAGCTGCTGGCAGTGTTATACAAGCGTCACTATTTTTCCTTTAATTGCATATTTTTTGAGGCAATGTCGGCTTCCGGTGTGTGCACTGATCCGGGGACACACCTCTGGAGGTCAGTGTCACCGCCAACGCACCCAGAGGCCTTTGCTCTGCCCACTGTGCCCTCTCCCCTCCCCCTTTGATTCCCGCTCCTCTCTCTCTTCCTGGTGGCCTCGATTCTGCAGTCAGATTTCTAGGATTTTTTTGGTTATGTCTGATTCTTTGTTTTGTTTC